TCTTTTCAATCAGTTTTAATAATATAAGTTTTGTCTGGCCGACTGGGAGAAGGTTATGTTGACTCTTCCAGTTCGAACCAGAATTTCCCCTTCTCTCTCTCTCTTTCTTCCACCTTTCTACCTAACCGATCTCAGACAGATAGAATTCTAAGGCAGGCCGAATCATAACATCTTACACAGGTGTTATCTTAACACCTGTTCTGCTATTTGTAAGCTGCTCTTTTTATTTTAATGAATTTTTCGTTTACCACAAAAAAAACTAAGTTTGAAAGAAGACTATAGAACTATGGAATCTATAGTTCTATGTAGAAGTTTGGGATGATATTGAGAGAGATGAAAGATTATGAGGATGTTATTGGAGGGCATCCAAATATGAGAGAAACTGGGGTTGGTTTGGCACAAAATGACGAAAATAATCAAAATGAGAAAATTTTGGGTTTTGATGAAAAATAAAGAAAAAATTACCTAGGTTAGTTCCATTCCTTTAAGAATGTTGAGAAGCGAATATCTTTAAGAACTTATGGCTATTGATGACTACAATGATTTATTGAATGATTAAAGAGAAAATAAATAGAGAGAAAGAAGAGAGGAGAGAGCCCAATATCACTCAATAGGGGTGCTTAGAACCACTCTAGGGCATGGAAATCACTCAACACTGAGCACACGTTTTAAGATCTTGAATAAAATCAAAGCATTCATCATTTTTTGCACCTCAATAGTGTATATAAACACTGCTTTATTCTTTCCTTTTGCTAAGTTACCTCAATTCATTTCATTAATATAAACAAATTTGTACAATAAGGATCCAAGAAAAGGGGCAAAGATCCCTAGAAAACAGCAGTTGTAACTGATCCCAGTACAACCTACTTACCCCTTTCTTAGCTAAAGAATCAGCCAACCCATTTGCATCCCTTAAGACCTATTGAAATAGTACTGTTATCCCCCTTAACCGCAATTTGATTTTCTTCCGTAAATCCAAACTATCTTCTTTTCATCCTTCATCCAACTTAGCTCCACTTGAGAGTTCCCTTAAATAACTAACCTTTCCAAACCCAATTCTTTTGCTTTGTGGGCTCCATATAGAACGGCAGACAACTTGGCTCTTGCGGAATCTCCTAGGCCAATAGGACCTGAGAAAAGAGCTGTTATATTTCCATCTTTATCTCTAAGCACTCTCCCAATCCCTGAAGGGCCTGGCTTACCAAAACTGTTCCCATTGAAGTTAAGCTTAATGAAATTTTCCAAAGGAGGTTCCCAAGCTTTTAAGGTCCTGATCTTCCCTGTTGATGATGAAGCCACTTTCTTCCACTTCCTACTTAAGTTGTCAAAGGAGTAGGGTGAGAACAAGTCCATAGATTTAATCCAATGGAAAAACAATAATTGTAGAATTTCCACTGTCATAAAAAGCTAAATAACTCCTAAACCACTTATTCAATTGCTTTGGAACTTTAAATATGAGTAAACCTTGACTAGAAAAATCAAACTCGTTAAGGCTGAACCATATAGACAAAATGTAAAATGACCACAATCCCTTGCTGTCTAAAAATACAAAAATATATAAAAATTTCAAAAGACTTCCGGCTTTGGTTTTCTTTGCTCTTGCATCACCTACCCTTTTTGGAAATGGAAGGATGATGTGGTCTATCCAAATTAGTGGACTGGAACAAGATTTGCAAGCCTAAATCCAAAGGGGGGCTGGGTGTTAAAAGGGTGAACGATATCAATAATTCCTTACTAGGGAAGTGGTTTTGGAGGTTTGGGGAGAGTCAAGGAGGGCTGTGGAAAAGAGTGGTACAGGCCAAATATGGAGATAGGAATTTTGGATGGGACAAGGAGCTTCAAATCAAATAGATAAATACTATGGGTGTTCAGTTTGGAAAGGAATTGAAAAAGCTTATAATTTGTTTGCAAAAGGTGTGAAACTCAAAATAGGAAGTGGGGAGCGGGTCAAATTTTGGAAGGATGTCTGGTGTGGGGAGAGGTCCTTGTCTGAGAGCTTCCCTGCTTTGCTTAAAGTGGCAATGGTAAAGAAATCAAGATTGGTGAATGCTTGCAAGTTCAAAATGGTAGCATGGTCTGGACCCTGCAGTTCAGGAAGAATTTAAACGACCAGGAAATGGATGAGTGGCTGGGCTGCTGCAGCTTTTATATAGTACACAGGTGGAGTTTGCTAGGTCTGACAGAAGTCTGTAACTGGAATAAAACTGGAAGATTCACAGTTCAATCCTTTTATAAGGCATTGGTCAATGCAGGACATTCAGTCCCAGCTCATATCATCTGGTGTAAAAATGTACCTTAAAAAATATCTTTCTTTGTTTGGATGGCTTACATCAATAGAATACTTACAAGGGACAACATTGCTCGGAAAGGCTTTTTGCTTGATTCAGCCAGCTGTGTACTATGTGAAGGACACTGGAAACAGTGGATCACCTATTACAGCACTGCAGCTTCTCCTTTGTGATTTGGAACAGAATTTCACACTTGTTTGAAATACAAAGTTGCTGCCCAGGATCAGTAGGACTTTGTAAAGGGTTGGAGGGTGGAAGGGATGAGTAAAACAAGAAAATTAATCTAGAATATAACCCCACCGGTGGTTTTTTGGTGCCTTTGGCAAGAAAGAAATGCCTGAGTCTTCAAAAGCAAGATAAGTTCTGCTGATTTTATTTATCAGAAAATTTTGGGAAAGATGTTCTCTTGGTTGGCTGGTCATTGGTTGTTTAAGGGTGTAGGTTGATTCTTTTTTTGTACATGCTAATCTTTTTGTAAAACAGGGTGGGGGTCAAGGTTAGAAGGAACACTTTTTTTTGGTTCCTGAGTACATCTTGCTGTACACTTTTTTTTTGTTTTGTGATGAATGAATAGTATTTTATTAAATGGGGATAGAAATAGTACAAGCATGAAGCACCCTAAGAGGAGGCACGAGGTGTTACCTCCCCTTAAAGGTGGTTCCAAACCCAACTCTTTTCAGATTACAGTTACAAAATAGCCAAAAACAGAGAATCCCTTGAAGCCCCTTATTTAGCTAAAGAATCTGCGAAAGCATTTGCCGATCTACTAACCCACTGAAAGCTAACTGACATGGTTCTCGTAAGCAATTTGACTTTTTTGATGATGTCTCTATATCCCCAAACAACAGTTTTTGGGTCCGACATCCATCCCACTATCACCTTAGAGTCTCCTTCAACTATCAAATTAGTCACTCCAAGTTGGTTGGAAATCTGTAGTCCTTGTTCCACAGCTTCTTAGCCCTTGTAGAGTCTCCAAAACCCATTGGACCTGAGAATAAGGACAGAATGCTGCCATCCTTATTCCTCAAGATCCCTGTTATACCCAATGGTCCTGGATTGCCTTGACTGCTCCCATCAAAGTTCAACTTTACAACTCCTTCCGTAGGGGGTAACTAACTTGCTTGTGTTCTATTTTTCTTGGATGAGGTGGATGCCACTGCTGCCCAACTCCTTCGAAGGTTATCACTAGAGTAATCCACAAAGTGATCAATAGTTTTTAGCCAAAGGATTGCCCTTGTCAGTATACAATCCTTTATTTCAGCAATGCTTATCTCCTCTTGGAAAATTCTAGCATTTCTTTCCCCCCAAATGGTCCATAAGAGGGCTGCCCTAATACATTTCCACATTACTTTCCCTCTCTTTGTTGGCCAACCAAAAAAAGATGGATCAAAAAGTAGATTTACTTTAGGAGGCAGGTTCCACCTGTACCCAAACAACATAAAAACCCAATTCCAAATATTTAGCTGTAAAAGAGCAAGAAATCAGTAGGTGATAACAGTTCTCATTCTGCACTTTACATAAAATGCACCAATTGGGGGACAAGCATGAATAAGGTCTCTTTTTTTGTTCATACTAATGCAATGATACTTTACCTTCTCTCTCTTTCTTTCTCTCAAAAATAGGCCTATCTAAATTGTTCATCATGAAGGCAACCTTTTGGGTCATGTTTTTCGTTTCCATCTCCACATCAGCCCTACAACTACAACCTATTTGGGCTTTTCTCAAGCAATATTAACCAGCCAGAGTGATAATTTTTTAATTTAAACAATACCAAAGAAAATGGTTATTCATTTTGGTTGGGGTGGGGGCTTTTGGGATGAAGTTTGCTTCATGGAGAAAGGGTTATAGCAGGAACAAAAAAGATTGCCAATCATGTCCCATAGGGGAAATGTTTTTCATGATTCCCAAACCTGACCACTTTAAACTGTCTCTTGTAATCACAAATTGTCTAGAGTTCCACCTATTCATATTGTTTGCATTCTTTTATGACATTTTTAGCTTTTATTCTATGATGATAATAATTTCACTGTGGAATACATGAAGTGACAGGTTAGGCACATGTTTGAAGAAATTGATTATGTCCTAGAGGCACAAAATTCTGAGCGCTTTGCTTCTCTTTATGCATGCTATCGAGGTAAGTTATTCTACACAATAACTTATGTCGCCATTTGCTAAATTTATTGTACCTCAACTCCAGAAAGTAATTTTTCTTGTCATCCCTGATCCTCTATGAATCCTAATGTCAGAGCATATATGTGATCCCTTACCTGTCTCATTGGACTTGTTGGAAAGTCAAATAGGATAAAATCTTATTCAGATCCAATGGTTGGTCTGTTTTGGGTGTCTCTCCAAGAAGTGACTCAATAATTGAATAGAATTTGTTGGTAGGTTATATGATAATTATGTGGTTAGTGCTCTTTGAGAATGATGCTTTGAAGTTCCTCTTATCTTTTGAGTTGATAAGTGCTAATCCTACTTTGAAGAATAGGATAGAGATCTGATTTTCTTTTTCTTGCTTTTGGTAGTCTTATTTTTTTCAGTTAAGAAGTGCTAATCTTGCTTTGAAGAGTAGGAATAGAAATCTTTTCTTCTGATTGCTAATTAAAATGCTTTATTAATTCAAGAAAAGAAAATTTTCTGAAGAGCCATAACACCTAAGCTCAAACAGTTGGAGTTTTACCCCGTATTTAGCCAATGCGTTGGCTAAACCATTTACTGTCCTTTGTAACCATTAGAAGGCTGCCTTTGGTTCCCTATCAATATGGGAAACACCATTGGGTTTCCTTTTGTCCTAGAGTTGATAGTTGTATGTTGAGTCCTTTTGCTTTAGTCCATTCAGATGTTTGGGGTTTGATTAGAATTGAGCCCTATAATGGTTACAAGTATTTTGTCATTTTTGTTAATGATTGTTCAATGATGACATTGATTTATTTAATGAAAGAAATGAGTGAACTATTCTCTATTTTCCAATTATTTCATGCTGAAATACGCACACAATTTGGTGTCCCAATAAAAGTTATTCATTCAGATAATGGCTGAGAATACTTTCTTACTTCATTTCGACAATGTTTGGAGCAGCATGGCATCGTTCATTAGACTTCTTGAGAGTCCACCCCCCCTCCCACACCCCCCCACAAAAAAAAAGGGGGGGGGGTGGCTGAAAGGAAGAACTGTCATTTACTTGAGGTTGCTCAGTAGTCAATCCCTTCTTCATCATATGAACATTCCTGAATAGTTTTGGAGTGTAGTGCTTACGGATTGTTTTCTCATTAATTAGATGCCCTCATTCATCCTTAATGGTTGTTCTCCTTTTTCTATTTTGTTTCCCATTTTGTCTCAATATCCTTTGACTCCCAGGATCTTTGGGTGTGTGTGCTTTGTTCATAAAGTCATTTGTTTGTCCTGATGTCATATTTTTTGACTTAGTGCCATTCTTCTCGGGTCTTGCTGTATCTCCCTCTTCTCCAATGGGTCCCCTTCCTCTTCTAGTTGATGATCCCATTCTGGTTGTCCCTATTGTGACTAAGCCTTTACCTCCTCTAGTGCAGAATCATACTAAACGATCACTGATTAAGGTTCAAAATATCGATACGCTTGATACGCCAGTACAGGCATATTGGGCAGTATCGGTAGTTTTTTTAGTTTTGTTTTTTCAAATCCGGTTCAGAGGAGCCGGTTTAAGGTCCGTCCACCCCTTGAACCAGTCAAAACCTTGATACACCCTCTGGAGGGGCGTATCGGGAAGCTTCTGATACAATACTTATTGATTGATACAAGCCGATATGTATCGATACTTTGAACCTTGCCATTGATCCGACAAGTGTATACTCATTGACAGACACTAGCACCTCCTCCGGCTTCTACTTCGTCATCGGATCTTGTAGTTGCTCCTATCACAGTGTTGCCTCCTTTTGAACTCAACCTTTCCATTGCACTGTGGAAAGGTAAACGTAGTTGTACTTTGCATCCCATATTGCATTATGTTCTATTTCTCATCTTTCCACATCATATCGCCGATTTGTTTCTTTGTTGTCATCTATATCTATACTTAAGCATCTCCAGGAGCCTCTTACCTCACCAGGGTGGTGTCAAGCTATGGAAGATGAACTCTCTGCTCTTAAACACAACCACACGTTGGAGCTCACCACTCTTCTTCCAGGTAAGCATGTTGTAGGTTGTAAATGGGTGTATACTGTTAAATACATACCAGATGGCAAAGTGGAGCGATTGAAGCGCGACTGGTTGCTAAGGGTTATTCTCATTAGCAAGTATGTATGATTGGCCCCTGTTTCAGCTTGACATTAAAAATGCCTTCCTCCATGGTGATCTTCTGGAGGAAGTTTACATGGAGCAACCACCATGGTTTATTGCTCAAGGGAGGATGGTAGGGTGTGTAAGTTCAAGAAGGCAATTTATGGGCTGAAACAGTCTCCTCATGCTTGGTTTGACAAGTTCAGTGAAGTAGTGAAAGATTTTGGGATGAGACAATGTCAAGTTGACCATTCGGTGTTTAGCTATGATTTTGAAACTGGGAAGATTTTGCTAGTGGTTTGTATAGATGACATTGTCATAACTGGCAGCAATAGATTGGGGATTTATAGGCTAAAGGCCTTTCTACAAGTTCACTTCCAGATAAAGGATCTTGGGAAGTTGAAGTACTTGGGTATAGAAGTTACCAAATTGAAGCAAGGTATAAATTTGTGCCAAAGGAACTATATTCTTGATCTATTGGAAGAAATGAGACTGTTAGGTGCTAAACCAATTGAAACACCTATGGAACAAAATTTTAAGTTGAGCAGTGATGTGGGTGAAATGTTTGATGATCTTGGAAGATATAGACAATTGGTGGGAAAGCGAAACTTCTTAACTATTACTAGAACAAATATCTCCTTTGCTATTAGTGTGGTAAGCCAATTTATGCAAAACCCTCAAGTCTTTCATTGGGATGCAATTCTTAGAATTGTGCGGTATTTGAAGGGAGCACCAGGTCATAGGTTGTTGTACAAGCCTGGAGAAAGTCTTGACATAGTTGGCTATATGGATGCAGATTGGGCAGGCTCGGTGTCTGATAGGAGATTTACTACAGGTTACTACACCTTTATTGGGGGAAATCTGATGGCATGGAAGAGTAAGAAGCAAACTGTTGTGGCAAGAAGTAGTGCTAAAGCTGAATACATGGCTATGGCACACACTACATTTGAGTTAGTATGGTTGAAAAATCTTCTGTAGGAAGTTGGATCCTCAGTGAGCAAACCTATGAAATTATATTGTGACAACCAAGCTGCAATATCCATCTCATCTAATCCAGTCTTTCTTGAGAGGACAAAACACATAGAGGTTGATTGCCATTTTGTAAGAGAGAAAGTCCTTATTGGAGTGATAAGCATAGAGCATGTGAGTTCAGGTGATTAGTGGGCCAAATTGTTTACAAAAGGGTTGAGTTCAGGAAGAGTGGATTATATATGTAACAAGTTGGGACTATATTACATATACTCTTCAGCTTGAGGGGGAGTGTAGCCAACTGAACCATTCAAACACTTGGCTAACTTTTTGGAGAAGTTTTCAAGAGTTGGGTTCCTAAAGTTACCTCCCTAGGGTTACCTCCAAGTGGGAGGTATCCACGTCTTCTAACTAATAAAACCCAACTTCCTCTGCCCCCAAATTTATTCTGACAATACATCTCGTTATAATTAACTTGTAGACTTGACATTTGCTGAAGCAAGTTGATCATAAATTTTAGGTTCCTCACTTCTTTACCCTCATCTTAAAAAAATTGAATGATGTTATCTGCCAATTACAAATGTATAACCTAGGGGTGTCCATGAAAAATCGAAAAACTGAAAAACCGAATCGAACCAAGAAAACCGAACCACAAAGTGCGGTTAACCGAACCGGTCGGTTCGGTTTTGGTTCAGAATTTTTGAAAAACCGAAGGACCGGTTTGGTTTTTGGTTAACCTATAAAAAAACCGACGGTTAATCGAACCGACCGGTATATATATTCATATGTATATTCTATAAATATTTTTAATATGTCACATATTTTCTATGTATTTTATATAAATATATATTCATTATATATAAATATTATACTTATATTATATTTATAATGATCTATTTACAAATATATTATATATTTTTAAAATATTTATAATATATTATATATCATTCATTATTTATAATATAATATTATACTTATATTTATATAATATATATTATAAATATAAAAAACCGAAACCGGTAGACTGGTTAACCGGTGGTACCGGTTCGGTTTCGGTTTGGCAAAATGAAAAAACCGGTACTACTGCTTCGGTTTACAAAAAGGGGCCATGGTTCGGTTACACCCCTAGTATGATCACTACTCTACTCATCTTCCATCCCTTTATCAATTGTAGTCTACCTACCCTCAAATTGAACCTAATGAATACATCAACTATGAGGGTAAATAGGAAAGAGGAAAAGGAGTATGGATCTTTTTTTACTCTTCAAATGGGGGTGGGGTGGGGGGGATATTATTTTCCTTGGGAAGTGGTTGTGGAGATTCAGCTATGTGGTGTTATAGACAAGAACTCAAGGAAATTAGATGGCTGACCAAGAACCTAGATATAGCAGCTTGGTGGGTACAAATATTGGCAAATAGTTTGGCTGATGCTGTAGCCTAGGGATCAAATCTGTTGGGCGTCTATATATGAGGCTGTATATAAGCATTCTACATACTTAATTGCTGTCCATATTTAATATAATTTCAGTTACTTACCAAAAAAGAAGAAGATATTTCCATAGTGTTAGTGTAAGGTGGCTTAAGTAGAGAGGTGCATTCAGTGTGTTCTGATCAGCATATACCAATGAGACTAAAAGAAAATTCTTCAAGTGCTAAGTAATCACGAAACAACATGTTTAAAAAATAGGTGTGGCTAATGATTTAAAAGGCATGCCTAGGCGCACAGGTGATGCACATTTTAAGCTATGTGCCATGCCTATGTCCTAGGTGAACCACTTTCAAAAGGCGTGCACCTGGTGCGGCTCAGCCCATGCATGCGCCTTTTTTTACTTTTTGCAGTTTTTATATCTTTTTAATAAAAGATATTTTTAAAAGATAATTAAAATTATAAAATCAATTATTTATGTGTTAAAATTTTTAAGACCCTAACATAGACATGTTTTGGCTTGCATCAAGGGGCTTGGTACAAAAGCAGCTTGTAGAATTTGGAACTAAAGATGTAACATCACATTAACTATTTGAAATAAGACATTTGAGAAAGAAATGAAGAAATTAAAAGTTTGACATCCTTGATTATGTTTTATATGTTATGTTTATGTATTTTATTTTAAGCAAATAGGCTTCTTTAAAATATCTAGTTTAAAATTATAGTTTGAATTTTCTTTATATGTTTTATATGTATGTTTATGTATCCGGTGTTTTGCAATTTCTTTTTGATTTTTTTTTTTCTTTAAATTTGTGTCTTGCTTAAAAAAGGTGTGCACTTCGCCTTGTGCCTTGCACCTCAGGTGCAAAGTGGCCTTTGCGCTTTTTTTGCGCCTTGTGCTTTTAAAACACTGGTTGTGGCTGAGATGGATAAGTAGCAAGACTAGAAAGAGCATAATATGAAATGAGACATTGGACAGGATTTAAGGGTAGCTCCAATTATTGACAAGATAGGGAAAGTTGACTGAGCTGATTTGGCCATGCGAATAGATGGCTGTACCAGCGAGGAGTAGCTTAGTAGGCTCTAAAAGAGCAAGGTGAGGACCAAGGAAAATGTGGTGTGAAGTGGTAATAAAAGATATTAAGGACTTATAATTTGACAGAAAACTCTCTCTTGATAGTGAAGAATGGTGAGACAGGAATCATGTAGCTGACCCCTAATGGTTGCGATTGAGGTTGAGTTGGATTCTGGTATTGTTGGTACTGGGAAACTCTTTAGAGTTTTTAGATTTCCATTTTAGATTTTTTTGATAGATAGATTTCCATTTTAGATTATTTCTCCATATATTTTAAAGTTATTATTCAGAGGAAAATTCTCATTGTAAATATGTATATTGTTAGATGGTCTAAAGTGTTGCAGTGTTAGTCATTTCAGTCTATGTTACTATGAAGTAATCTATAAATAGCCAATTGGAGAGAGGTGTATGACTTGGTTCTCTCAATCTTTTATCCTTTTTCTCTTATCTTCTTCTCCTCTACTCTTCTCCATTTATAGTAGGTTGAATACCAGAATATTTGTGTTCAAAAAATCTATGAATGATATAGTCTCTACTCTCTACATTTCGAAAATTACTGCAACACTTGTTTGCACTGTTCATTTTATTTTTCTCTCATCATGCCCTTCTTTTTTTGCTTTGAGATTTCAAAATTTCATTAAATTTGTTATTTGTTGTTTTTCAAGCATACAGACTGGAGTTGATCATAACTGCCTGTTGATTGACAGATCATGGTGAGAATACTCCACAAAAGGATACTATAAGAGAAGAGAAAGCAAACTTTATTAGGGTTCCCAAAATATATTGGAACCTTACTCGTAAAGCTGTGCTAACAATGGAATGGATTGATGGAATTAAGCTCACAGATACAGACCGATTGAAGAAAGCCTGTTTGAATCGGAAGGAACTGATTGATATGGTATATGATAGAAATTGCTCTTAGACATTTTATCTGTGCAATAATGTGTTCTTGAATCAACTTTAGAACTATTTGAATCCTTACAACTTTTTAGGAGAAAATCCTCAAATTTCCCTTGAGAATTTTAACAAATACTAAAATCTCCCTCAGTTTATTCTAATCCTTAAATTTCCCATATAATAAGATTCCACTGTTAATATCAAAATGGGAGCAGCATTGAAAATGCCATTATTACTGTTACAGGGTATCCCCAGAAGACAATCTTTACAGGGTGTCCTTAGAAGTAAATATATTGTTTGTAAGCAAAACCAAGCATAGCACACAATTGATGTTCAAGGAACTCAACGTTTTAGTGACTATTGAGCTATTCTGATATCTATATATATGTGTGTGTGTGCGTGCGTGTTATTCTCTCTCTCTCTCTCTCTTGTTAGAATAAGTGACGGTGATTTTTGTCTTGTGTTCCCATGTCAAACAACAGGGGAGGTTAATATCCTTTTAGAAAGGTGAGGGGAGGTTTTAGTATTTATTAGAAACCTCAGGGGAGGTTTAAGGAGTTCTCCCTGTTTTACTAACAATGTTGCCCAGCTGTATCTAATATGGTGTCTTGATACCTTGTGGGCTTATGTTTTTCACCTGGTTTTCTAGGGACTCTACTGCTCACTAAGGCAGGTGCTTGAAGTGGGTTTCTTCCATGCTGATCCTCATCCGGGAAATCTAGTTGCTACAGTTGATGGCTCTCTTGCATACTTTGACTTTGGAATGATGGGAGAGATTCCTCGCCATTATCGTGTTGGGCTTATTCAAGTGGTAAGAACTTCTTGCAAGAAGACAACAAAGAGATCATAATCTGTCACGTGGTTTCATATAGCCTTTTTGTATAGTTCTGTTAGTTTCATCTATGTAGATCTATATTCCTTAGGTTGGTATATGTTAAAACACTGGTAACTTGCAACCTATTATTGATATAAGATGTGGAATTTGGGGAATAGAGTTTCTCACAATCTCTTGCATGTTTCCAAGCTGTTTTGGTTGATTCTACAATCTACATTTCTAAATAAGTATTCCCCATATTAGACTTTGTATATTTGAAAAATTCCAATTGATAAACCGAGTAACTCATATTTCTTTTCTTTTAAATGTGAAAGTGAGATGAGTATTGTTGTCCATTGTTGATTTTAATGTACAAATGTATTAATTATCCATAACTTCCCGATAACATGGAATTTGTTTAACTGGAATCTATGTTACATGGATATGGGCTTGAGTTTTAGAATTTGACATGGATACGAGATGCCAGACTTGGTGAGCCCGAGAAAATAGGATTGATAGATCACATTGGTATATTTTAGTTTTTACTTTTTAATATTATGTTTTTCAATTCATATGCATAAACGTGGTGGAAGGCGGCTCTAGGCTGTCCGTTAGTTGGCTGCAGAAGGAAGACTTCAGTCTGTGGAAGTTCTTAAATGAGAAAAAGAAAATTAACCAGCTAACTCAGAAGTCAGAACATGGAAATTCAGGTTCAGTAGTTCAAGAGGAGTGCTAATTCTATGGCAGATTCTTTGGCCAAACAAGGGGTGGGAAGAGCTAATCTCTTTTGGGCATTGATATAATCTGTTTTCTACTTTTAGGGAAGGTTAAGTGATTTTACCCCTCCCTGTTGTAACTTTATCTTTTCTATTCCTCTTAATAAAAGTTTCTGTTATCGATAAAAAAAATCCATATGCATAAAGGTGGAGATCCCCCACCTCTGATGCTTTTTATTTATTTTAGTAGTGAAGTTGATGAGTGAGTTGTTGAGGAGTGTGGGTAATAGAAATCTATTAAAGGGTTTTAGAGTGGGAAGAGAAGAAAGAATTGTCTTACATTTGCAATTTGTGTGACGCAATCATAATGTGGGAGTTCAAAGGGGCTTAAGATATGAGATGTCTTAAAAGAATTCTAGAAATTGTAGAAAAGGTTTCTAGATTGAAAGTCAATATGGCTAAGTGCAGCTTAGTGGAAATCCAATTAGAGCCACATGAATTGGAGGAATGCGTAGCGATATGGGATGTGAAATTAGACCATGGCCTCTACAATATTTGGGTTTTCCAAGATAATCATCATTCTAGAATGTAATCATTTAAATGATTCTCTAAAAAATTGGCAGTGTGGCGAAAGAATTGTATTTCTATGGGAGGAAGAATAACATTCATTGAGTCTACCCTCTAATCTACCTACCCACCTCCATTTGGCGTTTAAGACCCTAGTGAGAGTAGTAAAGAGATGTTTGGGTTGGAGAGATTCCCCTTAGTGATAGGTTCCCTACTATTTGTTCACTGTTAGAAAATAAAAGAAGAGTGATCTCTTTCGCTTTTATTGATAATTCTTGGGACCTTGGTTTGAGGAGAGGTCTAAGGGAGAGTCAGAAATGGCAATGGTGGATGAATTAGTTACCCTTTTAGGGTCAACCTATCTGGATCAATCTTGTTTGGATAGTAGAATTTGGAAACCTACCCCATCTAGTGTATTCACTTGTTCCTCTTTCTTTGATGTCCTCATTCAGTCAACAAACCCTGCAAGGAGCCTTCCTTCAAAGGAGGTTGGCCTGTACCTCCAAAAATTTGGGCTTTTTGCTAGGAGGTGGTTCTCCAAAAAATCAATACTCTAGATATGTTGCAAATAAAAAGGCCAATTTTTTGCTTGTCACCCCATGTTTGTAGCCTCTGCTTGGGTTCTGGTGAGACAATCACACAACTATTAATTTCTTATCCATTTGTGTGCTTTATTTGGACTTGGTTGTCTTTTATCTTTGGTTGCAGGTGGTGTCCCCCCTTGGACGTGGGAAGCTTTTTTGACCCAAGATTTTTTAGGCAACCGAAGAGACGTGGAAGATAAATGTGGGGAACCATAAGAGCAGCTATCCTATGGTCAGTCTGGGAAGAAAGAAACAATAGGATCTTTAAAGGAGTGGAGAAATCCAAGGAGGAAACTATAGAAAAAATAACCATGACCACTGTTCAATGGTTGAAAACTTCGGATTTGTTTAAAGACTTCTCAGCTGAGGACATTTACAGGAATTGGGGAGTAGAGGCATCTACAACTTCCTTAAAACTTACTGTGCTGGAATTGTGGTCTCCACCAACACAACAAAGAGTAAAACTGAACTTTGTCGGGAGTTCTAGAGGTAACCCAGGCCCTTCAGGTATAGGGAGAGTATTCAGAGATGAAAATGGCAGAATTGTGGCTATGTTTTCGGGGCGAAATAGGAGTGGGGGACTCATTGAGAGCGGAGGTGATGGCCTTGCTTCAAGGTGTAAGATATGCCAAACAATTGGGGTTACACCAAATTGAGATAGAGGGAGACTCTAAATTGTTGATTGATTGGCTGCAATCAGGTAAGTTGGGAGCCTGGATTTATAGACAGCCCCCAAGGGAAATCCTAAATACAACAACGGAGGTTGGTGCTTGCTTCAAATGGACAAGGAGATCAGCTAATGGTTTAGCTGATATGTTGGCTAAACAAGGGACTGTGGGGGAGAGTATGTTTTGGGCAGTAACAAGGGACTGTTGGATGAGAGAGCATGGACCTGACACCCTAGTGGCATTTTATCTAGTGCTTCCTTTACAAAACACACCATGAAACCAATGTTCTGTCCTCTCCTTTCCTGATGGAAGCAATTTGAAATAGTCCCTCTCCAAAAATTCTAGTTTTCTATTGGGAGGCAATACTTCAAATCATAATACATTCTGCTTCAAAGGAAATGGAAAATCTGTTGTTTATCCCATCTTGTGTTGTGTTCTATGTTTCACTAGTGGAGAAGCCACAAACTATTTTTTTTTTACTTTCTTGTCAGTATGCATCTCAGGTATGGTACTTTCTACCTATTTTGGGACTTCTTGGACAGCACCATGAAGCATCTTAGATCTCTTAATGGCAAACGTGGTTAACTGCCATATGAAAAGAAAAAATGTACAAGCACTGGTATCCTATGGAAATTTGAGTTGAGAGATATGCTAGACTATTCATGAACAAAGAACAAGGTACAGTCATTAATAGATCTCATCAAGGTGACAATAGTTCATTAGGTTCTGGTAAGTGAAGAATTCAAGGGGGTCACTATGGATGTACTATTGAGACGTTGGAAAACAGTGGCTGGTTTCTCTGTTAAAAGTCAACCCAGAATAGTAGATTAGAGCCCTCCTGGAACAAGCAGATGAAATTAAACTTTGACGTTTGCAGATTAGGCAGCTTTACATGAATCCGGTATACAAGGGGAAGTAAAAGATGATAGAGGAAGAACCTTACTCAGATTTTCAGGGCTAGCAGGGTTCAGTATTTCATTGAGGGCTGAAATGATGGCTATAATTCAAGGTTTAATGTTGGTAGCATTAAACAGTTGGAGATATCTGATTGTGGAAGGGGATTGCCTAGTTGTATCCACTGGTGTGTACAGAAGAAGAGACCCCTTGGACTGTTCTTTTTCCTATTAGAGAAGCAAAATCAATAAGCAATAGCCTGAACTGCTCGTTCAGGTGGATCCCTACGACTGTTGATTGCCTAGCTGACAGTCTAGCAAAAAGCTGGGTGATGAGGTGGAGTCTTCTTTGGGGAGTGCCTGGGTCTGGGAATGAATTGTAAAGTTGTAAACGGAAGTTTTGTGGGAACTCACTTCCTATGGTGTATGGAGTCTTTTGGTACTCTACAAGTGTTGTGCAAGCCTTTTTTGTTGGATTCTAGGGCTGCAAACTACTATAGCAAGGTACTGTTGTACCCGTATTTGGGCTTAAAGTTGTTGTAGTGTGTTTTTCATCTTGCAGTTGGTGATTAGTGTTGTTGATCCTCGTTGTTTGGTGTCTTACCCCTCCAATGGCCGCTTCCAGTAATAGCTCCAAGCCCGCTCAAGTAGTGCAATTGGATTTCATGAATTCCTAGTTAACCACCGTTAAGCTCAATCATATTAATTATGTACTATGGGCTAAATCTATGGAAATTTCTTCGATTGATAGAGGGAAGTTGAAATATGTCAAGGAAGATCAACCCTAGAGTGGGTCTGAGGGTTAAAGTGAATGGGTGCAAGTAAATGCTTAGATTATGATTGCTTTATGGAATGATATGGAAAACAACATTAGTGTTAATCTCATGTTTCTGGACATTGCCAAGGAAATTTGGGAGCATGCCTAACAGTTATATTCATGATAGGACAATGTGACAAGGATCTATTAACTGTATCGGGATTATTTCTCTCTCCAATAGGGTGATAAGAGTGTAGAGGAGTATTATGCTACTCTGAAAAATTTACGGAATGAGTTGAATGTTTACCAACCTCTCTCCCTTGATTTGAGGGTACAACAGGCTCAAAGGGAACATTTAGATGTTGCTAGATTCTTGTCAAGACTGAGATCTGAGTTTGAACCTGTGAGAACTCAGATTTTAGGAAGTAGTGATCTTCCTTCCCTTTCCAAGGTGTTTTCTCGTATTTGTAGGACATGCCAACCCTAGAATGATCATTCTATCGCTTTAGAGAGGTCTGCCTTAGTAGCAACTAGAGATGGTGGTAGAAGAGGTGTTAGGGGGAGAGGTACATTTAGAGGTGCCTGTCTTGGTTTTAGTGGTGGTCATGGTGGAAGTGAGGAAGAGGTGGTGGAAGAAACAGTAGAGGTTGTGGTACCGTGAGAGAGTGCACACATTGTGGCCGTGAGGGACACATAGTTGCTTTTTGTTATAACTTGCATGTCCCTCCATCTTCCTGGGCTAATCATGCTGTAGTTGAGGATGACACTAGTATGAATAATGCTATTGATGCGTTGCCTACATAGGAGTTGGTAAGAGCAATGAACTGGTTCCATAATCCGTGAGGGATATGAAGGACTTCGTCAAACCTCTTTTTTGCCTTCCAAGTCCACTGCTACCGTTGCTAAGTTAGGGAGAACTTATTTAGTATACAGTTTTAACCATTCACCATGGGTAATTGATTCTGGAGCTTCAAATCATATGACTAGATCTTCAGATCTTTTTGATTTCTTGTCCCCACCCTCTACTACACCGTCTGTTACCTTAGCTGATGGTACTTCTCCCATTAATGGTATTGGTAATATTTCCCTTGGTTCTGATATTAGTCTTAACTCTGTTTTTTACATCTCTAAGTTTCCATTTAGTTTCTTGTCTGTAAGTAAACTTACTAAGTCATAAATTGTTCAGTCATCTTCTTTCCATCCTATTGTATTTTTTAGGATCTCGTGTTAGGGAAGATGATTGGTGGAGGTTGTGAAGCTGGAGGATTGTGTTACCTGGATGTCTTAGTTGGATTAGTCTAGTGGCATTGCCGTTTGGGTCATCCTTCACTTAGGATTTTGAAGAAATTAGTCCCTAATTTGGCATTAGTGTCTCAGTTGGATTGTGAAACATGTCAACTTAGCAAGCATCATAGAGTCACTTTTGTTCTCGGGGATGATCATAGAGTCCAAAGTCCTTTTGATCTTGTCCAGTCCAGTCAGATGTTTGGGGTCCCAGTTGTGTGTCGTCTTACAATGGGTTTCAATATTTTGTAATCTTTATTGATGATCATTCAACAATGACATGGATATATATATATATATATATATATATATATATAATGAAAGAACGTTCAAAATTGTTCTCAATTTTCCTTTCATTCCATGCTGAAATTCAATATCAGTTTGGTGTTTGTATTAAAGTAATTCGTTCTGATAATGCAAAGGTGTATTTTCATAGTTCATTTCAATCTTATTTTGACACTCACAGCATTACACATCAATCTTCTTGTTCCCACACTCCTTAGCAAAATGGTGTGGCGGAATGGGAGAATCGGAGAATCAACATATTATTGAGATAGCTCATGCCTATTTACTTCAAATGTCTGTTCCTAAAACCTATTGGAGTGATTCTGTTCTTACTTCATTTTTCTTGATCAATCGTATGCCGAAATCAGTCCTTGCTGGGGACACTCCATTCTTTATCTTGTTTCGTTCAAAGTCCCCTTTCTCTCTTCCTCCGCATATTTTTGACTATGTTCGTTTTGTCCATCGCTTGGACCCTGGACATGATAAAATTGAGTCCCAAGCAATCCGATGTATCTTTTTGGGCTCCTCTTGCACACAAAAAGGGATACAAATGTTATGGTCCTATCCTTCGTAAGTCGTTTGTTGTTACTGATATCACCTTCTTTGAGAGTCTTATTTTTCTGGATGGGAACCCTCTCCCTATGTTCCTCTCCCGTCTTCTTTAGGTGATGTGTTTATCCCTCTTCCCTATTGAGGATTCCATTTGACTATCAATTCACAGAGTGTACGTTAGATGTGCTTGAGAGCTTGCACCAATTTGTACACCGGGTCAGACTCTATCTTTTGCCCCTCCATCATCGGAACCATCAATAGATCCTCCATTTTCAGATCTTGATCTACCCAATACTGTACGTAAGAGCAAACATACTTTCTTCCCAAATTTGTCGATATTATGGTTTTTGCTCCCTATTCTCCTCAGTAAAGAGTTTGTTTTGAGTTAAAACCCAATCAGTTGGGTGCATCCACATGCAACCAAAAATCAAGAAAAACCACTACTAAATACAAGAAACAATAATGAATAGGGGAATGTGACCAGCAGTCACCTGATAGAAAATAAAAGACCTACACCTCGAAAGACCAATCTGAACCTCTAAAAACTCAAAATAACCAGACACACCACAAAAAGCAGCAATACCAAAAACATTCACCCTTTCTAAACAAAAACAAGACATGAACAACAGCCTACATCGCTATAACAAAATTTACCCAACTTTCCACAAGATTAATTAGAAGCCTCTTTGCTTCTCCTGCCAACTTTTTTCAATTTCACCTTCTTAGTAGGCCCAATTCCAAACAACCCCCTTTCAGTCTTCCAAACACTTATGAGACTTGAACTATTTGAGGAGTTTTCTGGCTGTTGAATCAAGGTTCTTTAATGACATTATGGATTCAACAAAGGGAAGAGTCCTCTCAAGTGTCATTTTAGTGTCAACATGGGTATGTCACCTATTTTGGAATTTCCATGTAACATAGATGGAATGTGTTGGACTACCAATTTGTATTCTGATAGGATTAAACTAGACATTGGAAGTGGTAGCCAGGTTTTAGAAATCTTTGTTTTTTTCCTTCCATAGTAAAGAAATATAAAATTTTGTTTTTTTCCTTCCATAGGATAGAAATCTGTGTTTTTTTCCTTCCATAGGATTAAACTAGACATCTGAAACCAACAATATATCATAAACCCTTCAACCAGTTCCGAAGTTTTGTTGCTGAAATATAAAATTTGATCAGATTATCTTTTTTTTTTTTTCAGCTTGTACACTTTGTCAACCGTGACTCTCTAGGCTTGGCAAATGACTTTCTTTCTCTTGGATTTATTCCTGAAGGAGTTGATATATTGTTGGTTTCAGATGCCTTACATGCATCCTTTCATGATGGAGCTAGGCAATCTCAAGATTTCCAGGTCAGTATTCTTAGTTCTTTTCTTGTTTTTCTCAATCGAAACATTTTCTTGACTGTTTAACCCCCACTAACTGAATGTGTTGTTTTTATTTCCTTTAAATATGATAATAATACAGAATTTTAGAATGTGTATGGTATGCAGATCAGGCAACGACATGACTGATGCTTTGGCAAGACAGGCTGTAAATAGATATCTACTTTCTTGGTGATTTCAAAATATTCAGGGCCTTAGGAAAAAATGTCTATACCACCCTTCATATTTTTGATAAATATCAAAACCTCCCTTTCTGTTCACCCTAGTCCTTAAACATCCCCTGTCAGGCAAGGCAGATGTCAGTCTTGACTAAATATGAAAAAAATGTCCAATGTGCTCTTATGGCTTTCCATGAAATCATTCCATTCTTCTCTAAATCCATATACCGTAAAATTTCCTTTTTGTTTTCTTACTGGCAACCGAGATTGATGGGATAAGGAATGAAACCTATTCTTATGTAATGAATTTGGTTGAAACCAGCCAATCATCTATAAAGTCCTGTCACCATTGGTAACCACAGCTAAATGATTCAAACAAATACAATTTTGTGCACACCCACTCTTCTACTTTTTCCTAAGAGTTACATATTAAAGTTTTCGTAGGGAATAAAAATTCCTATGAAATTGCAAACTATGCTCCTGGGTAATTCCAGGTTCTGTCCAGGAGCTGCTGTTAACTTGGCACATTTCTGGGCTGAGTTAGAGCTAAAATGTGTGTTGGAGGTTATTCCTGCGGCTGTTATTGGGCTGATGAGGGGAACAGGAGATTATTCAGTGGCAAGTATAAGGGGGTGGATGAGCTGATTAGGTTCCTGGTGGGCAAGTTGGATTCCTGGATCTTAGTCCCCAAGTATTTCTCTAATCAGAATGTATATGCGTATGAACTTCAGAAGTGTGGGATATGTAATCTTGTTTTTGTTCCTCCTTTGGGGATGGAGGCTGAGGCTTTACTCCTGTGCCCCAAGGAGCTTGTTGAATTGTATATCTGTTGCATCCAATAAAATTTTCTTTACCTTTTTCAAAAAGAAAAGAAAAGCTTCTTTGTACCCTGAAAAGGATTGGGTGAAGTCATACAAACAGCTGAAAAACTGACAGAACATTAATTTCCTAGTACACCTTTAAATCTCACCTTGATTTACAGAAATACCCAGACCTGGTGTAACCCACAGAAGATGGTCCCTAGTTACTCCGTTCTTGCAACAGCATCTGGTATTGTATTAGCTAATCAGGGTGTTCATATGAATGAGCTGTTCAAGGTGGATGGCAACAACCTAGCTTCTCTAACCAACAGTTGGATTACCTTGGGGGCCCTCTGTCTGCTTTTCCATTCAGCTGATGACAAGCTTATAATTTCCTTCCCCAAAGGTTGGATTACCCTGGGGACTCTCTGTCTTCTTTAGACCTTGAAGGAATGCAAGAATCTCAGCTCTTAGAAAGTTCCCTTCCCCAGTTAGGCGTGTGAAGCTCATCACTATATCTTCATGATGATCTGTGACACACCCTGGATCACCTAAACTGCACGCATTAAAATCGAGCTTCATTTCCCCATTTCTGAGGGAGATTGATGCACTCAAGAAGTCACTGCAGCAAGAATTTAAGACCCAAGCATGGGATATTCATCTCTTAGAGGAAGTATGTGTTGGACCTACTGTAGGAACTAGGAAGCTAGGAGTTAAACCAGCTGATACTCCTATTGACCTGAACTACAAGATTAATGCTTTGGATGGTGAGTTGGTTAAGGATGCTGGGAGATATTAGAGGTTGATGGGCTGGTTACTATATTTATGTATGACACGCCCAGACATTTCCTATGCTATTAGTGTTGTGAGTCAATATATGCATGTTCCTCATGCAATCAGTTGATCTACGACTGCATGGATGAACTCCAAGAAACCCTAACCTGGCTCTGATACCAAGTAGAAATCTGCTGAATCCAAAATCTGCAAAGAAAAGAAGTTTCTTGTGGAAGAAGAGAAAGGGAAGAGAAGAAGTTGAGAAAGAAAGAGAAAATCAGATCTGGCTGCCCTCTCTCCCATTGGTATTTATACTTTTAAGTAAAAAATGTAATCTGAAGAGCTATACTCGAAGTAGCAAGGAAGAGAAGAGAACCACAGAACTGAAGAGAATGTTGAACTGTACTATCCAGTCGACCAGTCCTTTATTTATAGATGAATATAGTACAAGGTACAAGAAATTACTGGGATGCCCCTGATTAGTGATGGGACACCCAGATGACTTAAATCATTAAACAAGATTAGGCCCATTAACACAAGCCCAGTTACAAGATAAGTTAAACATAAGAATGGGCTAATAAGAACTCTTATCAGCCGAACATCACTCCAACATTCTAACAAAAAATAAGTACAATAACTAATATGCCCTTATAGGGCGGCTAACTCATAAAACTGTATAAAAAACTTAAAAACATCACTCCAAAGGGTCCCAACAAGAGTGCTGTTGTCCCCACTCACTATCTAAACAGAGAATAAACAAAAACAACTAACAAATCTGCACAAAATCTTCAACACTGGCCACTGCTGCCCAACCTTTTATTATGCCATCAACGGGTAAACCCTTCAATTTTTTTTTTTTTTATCAACACCCAATTAGCTACCCTCACCTTGATAGTCTCATAAACAAGGTTTTGTTTATAATTTCTTTATTCTGCTAATGCAGCAACTAATTGCCATATTTTTACCAATTCTTGAAAAGCAAATTACCAACTTTCTGATTTTTATCTGATTTCAGGGCATAATGAACCAGCTGTATGATGTCATGTATGAATTTAACTTCTCTCTTCCCCCAGATTATGCACTTGTAACAAGGGCTTTAGGATCGCTTGAAGGGACTGCAAAAGCATTGGATCCTGAGTTCAAAGTTGTGGAGAGTGCATATCCTTTTGTTATAATGAGACTTCTTGCTGACTCAAATCCGGATATGAGGAAAATACTCAGAGAGCTTCTTATCTGTAATGATGGATCCATCAGGTGGAATCGACTTGAACGTTTGGTGGGCTTTTCTCCTTGTTGGCATTTGTAATGTACAGTTCAATTTATATTTGCAGTGTGTTCTAGATTTTGGATGATGAGGTCTCACCTTTTGTTTCCAAATTCTTCAATATGTGATGCCACCTTGAATTGGTTGATTTCATGGTGAGCATATTTGCTCCGAGGAAGGCCTTATGGACATCTTTGGCCCCCATCCTGTCATATTTGTTATTGGTACTCTACTCTGGTGGGAATACTTGATTATATGTGATATTTTGGTGTGAAATCTAATATATTGTGAGCATTTTCGCATGTTTTCTGGAACAAATTTTGTGGCTTTTTTACATGTTGCGATATTTTCTCACTGAATCTGCAGAAAAAAACTGACGTATTTATTGATGCCTTTAGGCCCCCACATCTGTATTTTCTTGGTTATTCAGTTTACTATTTGCTTGGCAGAACTGAATTTGGCATATAGGTACAGATTTTGGTTTCAAACAATTATAATCCTTTCTCATGTGGGAGTTTTAGCAGGGAAACAAATTCAATGGAAGAGGTCACATTGAATTATCTCTTGGTCTTCAATCTTAAATGTGCCTTGGTTTGCATTCCTATTAATTTAATAATAATAGCAGTGCTAACCAGGGTACATTTAGGATTGGAGACCAAGAGATAACTCAATGTGACCTCTTCAATTACCTTGGTTCAATAATTCATAACAAAGACTTGAAAGAAGAAGAAGAAGAACTGTTTACTGTATTAGAGAAGTAATACAGGTTCGAAGAGAAGAAAGAGAGAGAGAGAGAGAGAGAGAGAGAGAGAGAGAGAGAGAGAGAGAAGGGGTTCGGTGGTTAATGATCTGCCGCCCCATACACATCTTTATTTATAGTGGAAATAAACAATAATGCCAGCCAGCCCAACTTAAAAGAAATTAAAAACTTCTAATAAAAGAAATTAGAAACTACTAATAAAAGAAATTAGAAACTACTAGGTGTGGGTATGAAACCACTCACACTAGAGCCTGAGTGTGGGTATGTGTTATGGGCCCGCGATCTTGTCACGGGTCGGTCCACGGGGAAAACCTCCTGTTTTCCCTCGTTCCTCCCTTTTCTTGAGGAACCTATCTTGGCGCCTTAATGGTGATTTGTTCAAGAGATCACCAACTCTCCTCTTCTCTTTCTTGACTGAAAATTTCGATGCCTTTATTGAATATCATCAGCTCCTTAAATAGGAGATTACAAGAAGATAAGAGTCCTATTTTTAGGAAGACTCCTTGCTAATTAGGAAGACTCCCTAATAATCTATCCTACTGAACTGATAAGATAAGATAAGACTCCCTACTAATCCATACTACTGAACTGATAAGATAAGATAAGACTCCCTACTAATCCACTCCTTGCTAATTAGGAAGACTCCCTAATAATCTATCCTACTGAACTGATAAGATAAGATAAGATAAGACTCCCTATTAATCCATACTACTGAACTGATAAGATAAGAACTGTATCTAGCTAGAATTAGATAAGATGAGAATCAGCAAATCTTGCTCCCTTTACTGCTGCTGCCGGCGGCGATATTTCTTCCCAATAAAGCGTCCACATCAGTATGGAACCCCACACTCGTGGCTAACCAACTATTTCTTCACAAAGTAGAGATTGAGGGGGATGCCACCCATAGAATTAGAGTAGGATGGGAAAAATGGTAGGGTGTATCCAGAGTCTTATGCGATGGGTGAGCTCAACCACTGTTTTTAACCTGTTGTTGATCTGGATGATTGCACTGGTTGACCTGTCACTTGGCCAAGGTGGTCTGGTTTAGTCTCAAACCCATCAACTAATAAAAACCTGTTGACCCCATTCAGACCAACTATTCAAGCTGTTTACTGGTATTCAGTTCAAACTGTGACCAGAACAATATTAATTTTGAAAAAAAAACTTTTAGTGGAAATAAGTTGACAGAATAAAACTGTAAAAGAACAAAATGGGAGACTGAAAATAGGGAACCTTTTCTCCATGGCTGTCAATGGCAACTCTAATCTATGAAGACCACAAGAGATAAGTATGGCAAAGTCTTCTTCTTCTTGGTTGCTGCTAGTGGTAAACCAGCTGTAAACTGTGATGGCCGCTGGAAGATCTATATACCCATTTGCATCATGGGTACCATCTAGATTTGATTATGCTTCTTTTTTTTCTTGTCCCTATTACCATAAGTTAGAGGCAACTTGATCTAATAACTAATATTATATGTCGTCATTATAGATAGAATGAGGCTGTAAGCTTGGACTTTTCTTGTCCCTACCATGCTCCATCTATCATGCATCTGAATTTGGTATTTTGCTTCAGGTTGCAGCTATCTCTGAACAAGCGTCAGGACCATCTGATGCCTCAAAATTTTCTGGATGGTCCCTTGACATGCATGCTGTTGTTACTGCCACGGAAGATCTGTTCCATTTTATTCTATCTGAAAAGGGTCGTAGGGTCCAGGTTTTCCTTGTTAGGGATATACTTAAGGCAGCGGATACCTTTCTACTAGAGGTTTTTCCATGCATATTTGATGAAAAATTTGAAACAAGGGATCTTCCAAAATCTGAGGTATTTTTCATCAATCTAAATTTCTGTTGACTGAATATGTTGCCCTTATGATGGAATTTCAACTAAATCCAAGCTCATAGGGAAGTATTGGTTTGCATTTCGTGTCACATGTTGATGTGAGCAGGCAAGCAAGTTACGTGCAGTACTTTCAAGTGAACAATAATAAACACAGCAATACAAAGATGAAACAACAAAAACAAAAGATCTTTATAGATTTCAGAACTAAACTTGATGTAGGGTTCCTTGCTACACTAATAATTGCATTAAGCTGGCCTCCGGTATGGACACGTAATGATAGAGGGATTGGAAGGCATGCAATGGGTTGACTCATGACTGCTCAAAACCCCACTCTTGATACTTGAAAATCCTAATTGGGGCTGAGCTACATCTCAAGTAAAAGAAAAAAAAACAGACTTCCACAGAAACAACCCCTTTCTCTTTTATAGGAATCAATGGCTTGTTGGGGAAGCCAACTAAAAAGATTTAAGCATAAACCCATAGAATGTTCCCCTCCTCCTCCCTTCAGAACTAACTCCTTAATATATCCAGGCCCAATTGGAGTAGGTGACTCTTTAAGGGCTGAAGTTATGGCTGTCATGGAAGGATTGCAAGAGGCAAAGAATTGAATGTAAGAATTAAGAAAGCTGATTATAGAAGGTGATTCAAAGTCAGTAGTAGAATAATTGCAAAAGAAAGAAAAGGGTTTCTGGATTTTCAATAATGAAAAAAAGAGATTCAAGTGGCTGATTCAAGATATGGGTGTGCAACATAGTTAGGTTAAAAGGACAAACGGTTTTGCTGATGTATTAGCAAAACGAGGGGCAGGAAGGTAACTTTGCTACACAACAGTGAAAACATCCAAGAAATCAAAACTCAAAAGAAGCACCCAACTGCCCTTGACCAGAATCTAAACTATAAAATGACAAAAATACCCCTGGACCCAAATTGACTACACAGCTATCCAAAACAACTATTTGGGATCCTACTACCAAACTTCCAAACTTAGAATATATTTACATTTCTCTCTCTTTTTTTTTTCTTTTTCTTTTTTTTACTCTTCTTTTCTCTTTTTTTTTGGGCTCATCATTCTTGCTGGGTTAAAAGAGCTTGACTCCATGTAAACAACACAGTTAGCAACCTTACACATGTCTTCATCCATAATATGTTTCTCAATATTCCAACTTGCTTCAGCTCCGTCTTCTCCTTGAGTCACCTCTTCATCTTTATTTGAAAGAATGTCCTTGATGGCCTTAGTTACATCCTTGTTTCCTTGGTGTTATCTCTTGTCTCCAATATGGGTAGATATTCTTTTTTGAAGATAAATAAAGAAAGAAATTCAATAAAATACAGCCGAGTACAAGAGATTTTGGTGACAAGGTGTTGCCAAACCATACACAACCAAAAGACTTAAAAACACAATATCTTTTCAGAATATGAAATATTCACCGTACTCCAAAAATTCGATGCAAATCCTTCTCCTTTAAAGCCTTCAAAATCAGGGAGAATCAACACACAATCCATAAGCTTTGCTCCAATGCTTGCATCTAGCCTCTCCTTGCTCTTTATCTTTCCTTCAATAGTAATTCTCTTTCTTTCGACACTTCCCAACATACTCCAAAAGGAACACATCTCCATAAGATTTTTGCTTTAATGCTCCCTTGAACACTAGCCCAAGTCTAAAAATCTCCTTAGGCACACTTGGGGAATGGGGACCATCCTCCTATCTTTTGAATGACTGCAGCTTACAGATGGAGACTATTATGACGGAGGGAATTCAAAAATATTCTTAGAAAAGGAGAGAAGTGGGGAGGCTCTAATGGAGACTATTATGATGAGAGTGGCTGAAATCCTTGGAAACTTTCTCATCCATTACAATGGATGATATTATTAGTGATAAAGTTCAGATGTGTACCAGTTTTAGTTATAGAATAACAGAGGAAAAGGAGAGAAGAGTGAAAGGAGAAGAAGAGAAGAGAAGAGAAGGAAGGCTGGTTTGAACTAGAGAAGTCAATCACTCTCTAGTTGGACAGATTTTATTTATAAGTTTCTAATTAAAAGCACAAAGGCAGTTGTTCCCCTATTTAAGTTTGAAACAAAACACTTAGACCAAACTATAATAGATAGTAAACCACACTCAGCATAGAGAAAATTGACCAAACTACCCCTATACAGCTGACTCTAACACTCCCCCTCAAGCTGGTGAGTGTATGTCATATAGTCCCAACTTGTTACATACGTAATCCACTCTTCCTCGACTCAGCCCCTTGGTGAACAAGTCTGCCCATTGACTTCCTGTGTTTACATATGCAGTACTTATCACTCCACTGAGCACCTTCTCTATCACAAAGTGACAATCAAATTCTATATGTTTTGTTCTCTCATGGAAAACTGGATTGGAAGAAATGTGGACTGGAAGTTGATTGTCACAATATAGCTTCATGGGGGTATGGATTGGGTACTCCATTTCTTGCAAGAGATTCCTCAACCACATTAGTTCACATGTTGTGTGTGCCATGGCTCTATATATAGCTTCTACATATCTTCTTGCCATCATAGTTTGCTTCTTGCTCTTCCATGTCACCAAATTGTCCCCAAGAAAGGTACAATGCTCTGTAGCAGACCTTCTATCAGATATTGAACCAATCCAATCAGCATTTGTGTATCCCTCTAACTCAAGACTTCCTCCACTCTTATATAACAAGCCACAACTTGGAGATCCCATAAGGTACCTTACAATTATTATAACTACATCCCAATGTGGAACTTGAGGTCTCTACATAAATTGATTCACCACAGTAACTACAAATGAGATATCTGGCCAAGTAGTGGTTAGGTAATTCAACTTACCCATCAATCTCCTCTACATTCTAGGGTCTTCAAACTCCTCACCTGCAGCGCTACTCAAATTGACATTTGGTTTCATGGGTGTTTCAGTTGGTTTAGCACCCAACAATCCCATATTCTCTAACAGATCAAGGACATACTTCCTTTGACATAAATTAATACCATGCTTAGACCTTGCTACCTCTATCCCCAATAAATAGTTTAATTTACCAAAATCCTTTGTCTGGAAGTGATCATGTAGCAAGGTCTTCAACCTATCAATCCCCAACTTGTCATTGATGGTATTAACAATGTCATCTACATATACCACCAATAAATTCTTCTTAGCACCTAAATCATAGTTAAATGCTGAATGATTGACTCGACATTGTTTCATGTGATTTTTTTTACCACTTCACTGAATCTATCAAACCATGCATTGGGAGATTGTTTAAGTCCATAAATGGCCTTCTTGAGTTTGCACACCTTACTGAGAAAGGTGTGTAAACTAAAGAAGAAATTGATGCCCTACACAAGAATCACGCATGGGAATTAGTGGATCTTCTTAAAGGGAAGGAGCCTATTGGGTAAAAGTGGGACTTCATCATGAAGAACAAGGTTGGCGGATCCATTAAAAGGTATAAGGTGAGGCTTGTAGCTAAGGGCTTCACAGTTCACACAGACATATGGTGTAGACTATTGGAAGACATTCACCCTTGTAGAGAAAATGAACTTCGTAAGGGTGTTATTATCCTTACCAGACAGTCTGGGATGGCATCTTCATCAACTTGATGTGAAGAATTCCTTCTTGAATGGAGATTTAGAAGGGAAAGTGTGCCACCTTAAGAAGTCATTTATGGGTTGGATCTCTTCACAACTTTGTTTGGGGTAAGAAACTTTCAGCCAAGGTTTGCTTTAGAGATCTTTTCATTATGGCCAAAGCTCAGAGGTAGTAAGAAAGCCAGACTGACTTGGAGATAAAGCTTGGAACTTGGATTGGTCAGTGGTAGCTGTTGGCAAATCTGTTTTCAGACTGGGTCTTGGTATTGCCAGAATTTGAAAGTTTGTGCTTACAAATTTTTTAATTTGGATTTTTTTTTTTTCTGTTTTGGTTCTGCTTGTAGGTGTTGCCTCAACACCTGATTAGCTTGTAATACTTCTTTTCTTTTTAATGGAATTTTTACATTTACTATAAAAAAGGGTTTGGTTTGGTTATTTCAACAAGGCAGTTCAATAGATGGGGTTCAAACAAGGCCAATCAGATCGTACTATGTTTGTCAAGAAGGGAGGCAACAAACTTGCACTCTTTATTGTCTATGTAGATGACATTATCATTACAAGTGACTGGGAATTAGAAACTAAGAAGTTAAAGCAGTTTCTTGCTTCTCAATTTGAAGTATCTAGGTCCTCTTAGGTATTTCCTTGGGATTGAAATTTCTAGATAAAAAAAAGGGTATCTTCAACTCTGAAAGTTTTGGATCTCCTACAGGATGCTAGTAAACTTGGGTGTAAGCCAGCTAACACTCCCAATGAACCTAATCACAAGTTAGGAGATGCTGAAGGGGAAACTGTGGTTGATGTGAGACAATTCTAGAGACTTGTTGGGTGAATGACTGATTGTTGTATCTTTCTATGACTCGAGTAGACATTGCTTATGCTGTTGGCATGCTTAGTCAATAACTCAATATATGCATGCCCCTAAATCCACACATAATTTAGATGTTGAAAGGGTGTTGAAGTTCTTGAAGAAACACCTAGGGAGAGGTATTTTGTTTGTTAATCATGGACACATGAAAATTGAAACCTACACAAATGCAGATTGGGCCAGTTCCCTAGATGACAGAAGATCAACCTCTAGGTACTGCACCTTTAGGAAGCAACCTTGTAACTTGGAGTAAGAAACAGTTGGTTCTGGCCAGGTCAAGTGCTGAAGCTGAGTACTGGGCGATGGCACATGGAGTTACTAAACTGTTATGGGTGAAGGACATGTTCATTGAGTTGGGGCATCCCTTTACTGGTCCTATGATATTGTATTTTGGTAATAAGGCTGCTACCAGAATTGCCCACAATCCTCTCCTTCATGATCGGGCAAAGCATATTGAAGTGGGCAAGTTAGCTGATGTACTTATTGCCCCTAGTCACACTGAACTTTGTAACAAGTTGGGAATGATAGATATCTATGACCCAACTTGAGGGGGAGTGTTGTCTTTTCTGTATTTTTTATGTACTTTTAGTGTGTCAGTGTCAGTACTGTCCTTTCACATTTATTTATGGTTGCCCTAATATAAATAATAAGATGGGCAGCCACCCATTGACTTTTTGACTCCCAAACTGTACAATCCTCTCTTCTCTTCTCTCATGCTTTCTAATACTGAATGCACTGACCATCCCAATGATCAGTCAAATATCTAGATTGCACTTTCTTTTTCATTTTTTACCATTCCTTGTGGGTTTTGGTGGAGTGGAAGGTTTGTCACTACCTCACTCATCAAAAAGAAGTTCATGATACCTCCTTTAAAGCACATGCCTTGATTTCCCACCCTGCACCTCTTTATTGTTGATTGCCACCTAGATGATCCTGTTGGATGTTTCTAACTATAAAGGTCTATCATATCCCATGGGGCAACAACCTACATAAATAAAGATAGAGAAAAGTAGTCCAAAAAGAGGAAGTCTGTTGGTTACTTGGTTGAAATTCTTCAGTGCATTGCATTTTTTTCTCTGATCAATGTCAATATAGGTTCTTCTAAGGGTACAACATGGCTTAGACTCAAAACCAAACTGGAGTGATCAAACCCAACATTTGGGGCAGGTTTAGCTGGAATTGATAGATCCTCAGTTCAGCATCCATTTTATGATTATAAGGCTTGGTTGAGGCCTTTGACTTATATTTATTATGGTAGGTAACATTTGTCTTATAGGTACAATTGTTAAATGAGAACACTTTTTTTTTTTGACAAACACCAATTTTTGTTGTTATAATTATTAGTAGAAAAGTCTATGATGAAGGAAAGACATGATGATTGAAAAGCTTTGACTAATAAAAAACCCCCTTGAATTTTGATGGAAACCCACCTGATTGGTTACCACTTTCATAATGCTGGTTGATTGGTTATAAGTTTTTCTGGTATCATGTCTTTCTGGCATCATGATTGACCTCATTATTGGTAGTATTATTTTTAGTATTACAATTGTGATTGTGAAGCTTATGTCTGGCTGTAAATCCTAGTTTGTTCAAGTTTTTCTTAAACTAGGTTTAAGCAAGGTTGGAATAACAACAATATGGATTTACACTTGGCTTAGATAGCTCTGTTTGGTACATCAACTGATCAACCATATTTCTGGGTTGGTATGGTACGCAGGATATCTGATACACACAATAGATGATGGTGTACATTGCTTGGAAAATTTTCTACCGTTCACTTTTTTTTTTTAAAGCACTGCTTCAACATCGCAATCTTTCTTAAGTTTGTATTATATTCATTAAGGTTGTGATCCTATGCAGGGACATGAGATGATCAGAAGGGTGCTAAAAGGGTTTCAGTCTCTCTATCAAGCAGTAAAGCTAGCCCCAGAGGTTTGGATGGCAATGCTAATACGTATGGCAGAAAAACCTGAGGTTCATAAATTTACATTGGATGTCATCTCTGCCTTAGCCACACATTGTGGTAATACGATGTCGGAAGAAATATGGCTTTGTATATCTAGGCTCTTCCACCAGATGGAAAGAAACTACGGACAGAATGATTTGTGAAATAGCCTTTCTTCGATCCAGAATACATTGTCATATACAGTTACAGAAATATGGCTAGAAATTCTAATCTATGAAGGCGTAGATTAATTCTCAAGCACTCCAAGAAATTATTAAGGGTGCTTGGATTGTTTTTAGAAGAAATAATTCTCAAGGTGCTTTGAGTGGTAAACAAAATAAACACAATGGCATTTTGTGCTTAGCTGTCTGGTAAGAATTTTCTCAAGCTGTCTTGGAAAACAGCCTCTGTGTATGTGTAGGGATCTGTCCCTCCCCAGACTCTGCATTGGTGGGAGCCTCGTGCACTGGGCTGCCCCATTTAGTCTGGTAATAATGGGTGAATTGAGATAGGATGCCCAGGTAACTGGGTACCCAATACCTGTGGATTGCAGTGTTGCACTGAGACGCTACAGAAACACTGGTATCAGTAGAGACATGAAAGTCTGGAGCTGGGACTTGTGAGAAGGTAGTCCAGACAGACTTATGATGTTTCTGGGTTAGAGTTGGCCTACTTCGTTAAAGATGGTAGTGTAGTGCAAATGGTAGTTTGGCTAAGTTCCATTTTTGATGTCGCTCTAATTTCTGGTAAACGGATTTTTACAATTTATTAAGTTGTGACGGTGTGCAACTGCGTGACTTCAAGAATATTGGGCCTGGCTTGGGTGGATTTTGAGCGTGAAATCATAGAATGGATTTGCTAGTTGAGCCATCTAATCATCCTTTCACTATCCTCTATACAAGGCAAGTTTCAGCCCCAAACCCTTCGCATGTGTTTTTGTGTTATTAACTCTTTTTTTGGGCAAACTTTTATATTAAAGACTTGCAAACTTGAATAGCTAATATCAGTCGGGAAAATACCAATACAAGGTGGCAATCTATCATCAGAAAAAGGATTTAGGTTGAGAAATATACTTCTTCCTCTTCATGTGCCATCTGAATGAGGTAACATTAATCTTCGATAAAATGGTACAATTCATCAAGGCAAGTTGGACTTAGGGGCCAAGGAGTTCTATCCTTCTCATATTATTGAACCATGTGTGCTCTGTCTATTTCTATATATTAAGGATTCTAAAAGGTTGTGTTAGGTAAAATTGCAAGTTGTGATTTCAAAATTGGAACTTTCTTGCACTCACCAACTTCGAGTGCAAAAGTTTTTTTTTTCATTTTTGGAAAGCAAATTTTTTTCTCCCATTTTAAATGCAAACATGTTAGGAAATAACAAATTTGCTGTCATTTGTAGTACAAAAAGATAATTCTTAACCAAATGACCACAAAACTGAACTTGAATGCAGACTTGCTTTGGTTCAGCATTTGCTTTAGCTCAGCCTCTCCACAAGGTCAAGCATGTAGCCCTTAGGCCATTATCTCTCCCCATAGAATTACCAATGGTAGTTGAGAGGAGGTAACAATCACCAAGGCATCAACATTCTATCAACTGAAGCCTCCATGCCATTTTACTTCCATCCAGAAGTCACATGTTTTAACTGCTACAACAATCAGTTGTTATTAAAGGAGATTGAAGAGAAACAATGTGCAAGCAAAGTGACGAATCCAGTCACCCTCATTTTTATGTTTTGTTCTCCATGGATGTCTACTCTGCTATTTCAACTTGCTTTAAACCCAAGGTTCAAAATATCATTACGGTTAGTGCTTTTTTTTTTTTTCTGTGCATCAGGGAAAAAAACATTGATTCTGTGTGTGTGTGTTTTGAACCGTGTTTATAACCAATTAGGTCTGACCAATACCTTGAACTTGCTCCAAGCTCAAGCTAACCACCTATTGCTGCCTTGGTTCTATCTGTTGGTCCAATTCCAGGACTTCTAAACTTGACCAGTGGACCATTAACATGTGCAATGACTCTAAACACCAAGTCGAAGTGAAAAAAAAGTAGGTCGAAGATTACAATATGAACTAATAAGGGTAATTAGAAGTTACATATTATCTTTTTGACATACCTTTCTAGCATCCTGAGTTCATAACAAGATAATTGGTGAACAATGATTGTCACTATTTCTTGAACGGGGGTAACATTGCTGCCATGTCACACTATTTCTTGATGGGGCAATACCTGTAATTTGTATGCTGCTTCGTGAATTCTTAACGTTGAAGCATCTCTTACAATCACTTCTATACCCATTGAACAAAAACAAATTTCCTTCTATGAAGGATTACATGGTTCATCAATTGCCTAGTTCTGTTTGGTCTTACTCTTATCCATACTAAGAAGCTACCTTACTGGTGTTGCAAAAAGTATATTTTTAGTCCCAAATGGTAACACAAGGGGTATGCCTGTATCGACCATTCAACTTGCACACGCACGCACACACACACAGATAGAGAGAGAAAGAGAGAAGAAAAAGAAAAAAAAGGAAAAAAAAAAGAAAAAGAAAAGAAAAAATGTAACGAAAACAAAAAAATAAAAAAAAAAGAAAAAGAAACAAAAACAAATTTCTGAAAAATACAAAAATAAAGTGATGTGTTAGAAAAAACAAAATGAAATAAAAAGCATAATATAACAATTATAAATAAAAAAATTATGAATATATGGAAAATCAATTAAGAAGTTCAAAAAAATCAGAAAAAAGTTGAAATACAAAAAGAAAAAAGAAAAAAGAAAAAAGAAAAAAGAAAAAAGAAAAAGGAATAAAAATAAAAAAAGAAGAAGAAAAGAAAAAAATAAAAATGAAGAAAGAAAAAGAAATAAAAAAATGAATTAGAAAGAAAACAAAAATCATTTAAATAAGAGAATTTCTGAATATTTCTTTAGGGTAATTAAGGAAATTAATCATAACACAAATAAACAAATAAAAAATATATTAATAAAAAACAACAAGAATTAAAGATCTAAAAGAAGAGAAAAGAAAAAGAAAAAAAAATAAAAAATAAAAACAACAACAAATAAAGTCACCTTAGATTAATCAAAGAGTAAAAAAAAAAAGAGATAATAGATAAGTAATAGCTAAGTTGTAAAATGTGGGACCCGTGTAGAGTGATAACATGAAATTAAAAAAGAGAAACAAGTAAAAAGTAAAAAGAATTATTATAATAGAATCAAAATTAAAAAAAGTAAATAGAATAAAGATAAGATAAAAGTTCAGAAATAAATAAAAAATGAAAAGATATCGAAAGCCAAAAAAAAGCACAAAATACAAAAAAAAAGAGAATCCAAAATCCAAATAAAATGCAAAAAGAAGAATAATTCAAAATAAAAAAAATACAAAAAAGGAAGTGAAACCCAAAATCCAAGAAAAGGAAAAAACCAAAATACAAAAACAAAAGAAGGAAAAGATAAAAAAAAAAAGAGGAAATGAGGAAAATTATCATAAGGACAATAAATAATAAAAAAATTAGAGGAAAAAAGGATGAGGATAATCCTGTTTTCTTTGAGTTTGTTTTAATAAACCGAAGTTTTGTAAAATGTAATAAATGTATTATCAAACAAAAAAAAGAACAAAAAAAAGAAAAAATGATAAAAAACCAAATCATTATAAAAGAAGAGAAAAAAAGAGATGAAGAAGATGTATGCAAAGGAATAAGAAAATAAACAAAAAAAAAAACACAAAAAAGGGATAAATGGAAAACTAAAAACAAAAGAGAGGCAAAAGAGAAGAAAAAAAGAAAAAAACGAAAGAAAGGAAAGATGCCCAAGTTACGACATAGAAGAATAAGCAAAATATGAGATAATGATGCACAATGATATAATTGATGTCCATTTTCGGAAGAGGTTATTCTTGAAGATCCAAAATTCAAAAAGCATTGCGGTTCAGCCCAAATTCTTTATCATGTTTGAAGTCTCTCTTAAAACCGTTTACATCTTTTAAGCGGCAATCCTACCAAGCCCAGAGGCAACAGTGTCGGCTTTGATAGTAGGGTACCTTCATCAGTTTAAACGCAACTTCCGGAGTAGGGAGACAATGCTCTCTACCCTACTTCCACATTTATCAAGAGCATCTTTGCGTCATTGTACATAGTGCCTATCCCTTTCTATTTCCGTGTCATTCAAAGACACACACTGAACTACGTTTGGCCTGATCCCTCTCACAGGGGTACGTAGAGCATCCCATCTCACGAGTCCGACCTTTTCCTTCAATAAATTACTAGTTTTTCCCAATCATTTTCTATCATTTGCTTTTTCCTAAACCACTTATTCATGATGGAACAATAAACTCCATTGGGTCTCGTTACCCTTAGAAAAAGATGAAGATTCCCTTTTCTGAGAAAGATGCATAATTGAAGCCTAAAAAATTGGGGATTTGCAATGAATCACAAAGACATGTCTTCGTAAAAAGCTAGTTGACAATCATTGACTCGCATATGGAAACACTCAAGAAAGGGGATAGTCCAATGAATAAAAACATTGATGCCCACCCCTACCCACCTCACTAAACATTCAAACAACCCTAAGCCTACATCCTAATCTTTTTCCGTGAGCACCCAAATATCCTTGAACTAGGGCATTTTTTGACCATTTAAGTATGTATCATCTACTAATTTCCCTAGAGCTAGCACGGAGCAAGGATATCATCATGACCTAGTGCTTCACCAATTGATAAAAGTAAGGACTGGAGGCCACCTTTGGTCGTCTTAATTCTCAAGTGACCCTATTATTACTTAAAACCTGCTTGTTAGCCCGATTGAGCCATGCATAAATACCTTTTCCTTGGTAAACTAGCTAAATTTCTGGTGTGCCTTTTTGCAGGGCCTAAACAAAAAAAAAAGAAAAGAAAAAATGAAAAAAGGAAAGAGAATAAAAATAAAAATAAAAATAAGTGAAAAAAAGGAAAAGAGGAAAGAGCAAAGAAGAGACTAGGGCAACTTAGTATGGGGGAATGGTCAAGTATGAAAAATTTGGAAAGCTTCAAGGGAATGACAGTCAAAGAAGATCAAACTAAGGAATCTGGGACAGATGAAAAAGTAGGGAGAATGATAGAGAAATATTTGAAGAAGGTTTAAAAAAACTAGGGCAAATATATGTTTCAAATCATTTTTGAATCAGTTGGCTTGAGTATTTGTTTGCCGATTCTCTAACATGTGAAGTCCACCATGATCAGTGAAGAAACATGGTTCATATTGGAAAATGTGAAGAGTACGTAAAAAAAAGAAAAGAAAAAAGGAGAAAAAGCAAAAGGAATGAGTGAATATAAAAAAAAATGATGATGAGGAGAAAATAACAGCCCTACATGAAGGTTGAGCATCTGGTTTCCCATTGTAAATGAATTTTTGAGAGTTTCACCCTTCATTTCACATCCCCCGTCCTATACCACGTTTCGTCTCATTCACTAAGTCCTCATTGATCCTTTAACAATTGGTAATTTAGCATAGGATAGACCTGGATGGTAATGATGAGGGATTTTGCTCTGAACCTTCTTCAATTAAGCATCTCTCATCACAAATCCTCCTGTTAACCAAGAACCGGGTCGGTTTCCCATAAAGACCAGGTGTTTCCTAAAGTGAATATATGATTGTCTCTTTTGCATTTTCGATGCAGATACCTTTATTGTTGCTAAGGTTTCGATCAACTCTTTTGAAGAGGGGCAAAATACTTTTATCTCTTGCCAAGGCGTGATATGGGTCCCTTTGGACATAATTGTTCTGTCATGAATCAATGCTAGTAACATCTCATGTTTCGGTCTCGTAGCTTCTTAGAAAAATGTACAATAAAAAGAAGATAAAAATTTCCATCTCCTTTATGTCTGAGTTGCATTGTTTGTCTACTTTGGAAGTTACAAAGAAAAAGTAAAGAAGAAGAAGAAGAAGAAGAAGAAGAAGAAGAAGAAAAGGAAAAGAAGAGAGAGATAAAATGCGGGCAGCCCATGGTGTTTGACACTCGAATCGAACACAAATGTCTCAAAGAAGAAGCTCAAGCCACACCACTACAAAAGTCTTCCAAAAAGGGATTTAGTTATTCATTGTGCACCAAAAAATAAATGAAATTAAAAAATAAAAAAACAACAAAAAAGATAAGTAATAAAAAGAAAAATGC